TGCAAGACTAAACACTTCCTTTTTGACAGGTTTATTTAAAGAGGCAGATCTAGAGAATGATAACTATAACTTTTTTAAATTTTTAGCAAATCATTTGCTAAGGTATCATGTGCTATTCTTATAAGGAAAAAAATAAGAAATGTGGGCTAGGGAATAGTAAAATTAGGAGGATTTTGGACTGGTTGAATGGCCAAACTAAAAAAAAAGTAATTAACTATTACTAATTCCATGTCGCCTTGGAAGGAGGTCTCTAGCAGAACATCCTAGCTATCTGTGCTTGGGGTATAAGACTAATAGTGGTATATCCGGATCAAAGGGTATATACAGTTTAGTAACTGTAAAGACATGGTTCCAAATTGCTTTCCATCTCCACCAAAAGCATATCACTGTGTCTTTTTTTCCAACAGCTCCTCTAACATTTGTCATTTTTACTTTTTTGTCGTTTTTATCCATCTGATGAATTTGAAGCAGAAACTCAGAGTTGCTTTAATTTACATTTCTCTAATTATCAGTGATTTGGGGTATTTTAAGTATACTTGTTGATAGTTTAGATTTCTTCTTTTGAAACTGCCACTTCATATCTTTTGACCATTTATCTATCGAGCAACAGCTCTTATTCTCCTAAATTTGAATCTGTTCTTTGTGTCTTAGTTACAAGACCTTTCTCTGAGAAACTTGTTGCAAAGATTTTTTCCCCAGTTAATTGTTTACCTTCTAATTTTAACTACATTAATTTTGTTTGTGCAATTTAAACAGTATGCAATCAGAATTAGCCATTTTATCTTTTGTGACCCTTTCTATCCCTTGCTTGGACAATAATCCTTAACAATGCGTAATTCAGAAAGCTGTTTTCTTCCAGGCTCTCCTAATTTATTTGTGATGTGAAGTTTTCTAAATCATTTATCTATTTGGAGTTTAATCTTAGTATATGGTATTAAATGTTGATTTTTACCTAATTTCTGCCAGACTGCTTTCCAGTTTTCTTAGAAGTTTTTATTGAATAGTAAGCTATTAGACATTGTCAGCAAGCTGTTCCACTGGCACCTTAAATTCAACATATCCAAAACAGAACTCATTATATTTAGTAACCCACACGTCTTCTGAACTTTTCCATTTCTATTGAGGGTACCATCATCCTTCCAGTCACTCAGGTTAGTGTTCTCAGCATTATTATCAACTCCTCATGCCCTCCACCCCCATTGGTAGCCAAATCTTGTCATTTCTCTCTTCACATCTTTCAAATCTATTGCCTTCTCTGCTCACACAGCTACTATCCTAGATCAGATCCTCCTTTCCTATGACCTTGACTATCACAATACCCTCCCAATTAGTCATCCTGCCGCATGTATCTTACCTCTTCAATCTGTCTTCTACGCAGCTGCTGAGGTAATATTCCCCTGCTCAAAAACTCTTGTGGCTCATTATTACCTCTAGGATCAAATAAAAAATCTTCCAATTGTCATTTAAAACCTTTAACCACCTAATTGTAATCTACTTTTAGAGGTTTCTAATATCCTGCTCTCCTCACCACATGCTACAGTCCAGCCAAATTGGCCTCCTTGCTGTTCCTCAATATTTGACACTGCATGTTTTATCTCTGTGCCATTTGCAGAGATTGTCCCCCAAACCCAAAATGAATCAATGAATTTTTAAAAGCATTCACTGAATGCTTTCTATGTGCAAATCACTGTACTGGGGATACAAATAGAAAAGAAATATAGTCTCTGCTCCCAAGAAGCTCATATTTTAATTGGGGAGAAAACACACATAGGAAAATTTAGCTACAAGTCAGATGGAAAAGTCCCATGGCCCTTAGAGTGCAGTGGGAAAGCAGATGGTGATACATCTCCTTTAATATAATTTCTACTGATAAAATCATATCCATTTTTTATGTTGAACCACTTGACATTGCCAAGGACTCTCTAGGGAAGAACACTTTCTACCAGGTCTTTAGTATCTGTGGTTGAAGAGGTAGGGGATGAAGCATCTGCAGAAGTAGTTGTCATATTGCATTTCCAGATAGATTGCATCTCAGGATGGTGATTGTGGGGCCTGGATAGGAAGCTGGACCAGAGGTCTAGTGGGGAAAGGAGGAAATGCTGTCATTTATACAATACTGGACCTTTCCTATCTAATCATGGCAGTTGGTCAGCATTTGGGGAGCTAGGAAAGTGGACCCCTTCTCCACTGTGATTATTCCTCTCAGTAATTGCTGTGGAGCCCAGGCTGGAAACAGGGCTGATGGAAGTTGAGGGGACACTGCTATTCCCAAAGCTTTTAAGTTCATGGTCCTGTGCTATTTCTATCAGAGTCTGAGGGGAGTTAGCCATCAAGGTGGTAGTGTTGGTATATGCCCAACATGCTTCCTCCTTTCTCTCCTGAATCACTTGCTGCTTCAGCTACCCTGGCTTTTCTGCTTCATATTCCCTCCTCACCTCCACTTCTTAGAATCCTTTGCTTCCTTAGAAATTTAGTTAAACCACTTTCTTACATTCTGATTTTTTTTTTTTAGTGAGGCAATTGGGGTTAAGTGACTTGCCCAGAGTCACACAGCTAAGTGAGTGTTATGTATCTGAGGCTGGATTTGAACTCAGGTCCTCCTGACTCCAGGTCCGGTGCTCTATCCATTGAGCCACCTAGCTGCCCCTTAAACATCACTTTCTAAATGAAGCTTTTCTTCATCCTCCCCCAGCTCCTAGTGCTTCCCTCCCCTCAAAAAATTACCTAGCATTTATCTTTTATATACTTATATATGTACATATTGCCTTTTCTGATAGAATTAAAACTTGAAGAGAGGAATTGTTTCATTTTGTCTTCATAGCCTCAATGTCTAACAGTTCTTGGCACATAGTAGGTACTTAATAAATACTTGTTGATTGGTTAAAGTTACAAAGAGACAAATTGAGGTTTATTGTCCCTAAATTTTTCTAACACTTGTAGGTCTCCAAAAGTGGAATGGTTAGGAGGTAACATGAGTCTTCTCACTAGAGGGCTTTAAGCAAAGTCTAGATGACCACGGATCAGGGACTGTTATAGTGAGCATTTTTTTCATGGCTGCTGAGGTTCCTTCCAACTCTGAAATTCTGTTATTCTATGACTTGTAGATTTGCCACAAGGGGTCCATTCAAAATGCCAGGATCTAAAATCTATACCTTACTGTGTGACCAGCACATCTTTTTTTTTTTTTTGTTTCCTAGTCATACGATTCTCTGACAACATCTACACTATTTCTCCTGCATAAGCTTTTACAGGCTTATAAATTATCACTCTTCTCCTTTTTGGTAATGTCTTTCAACTCTTCTCTCCTAATTGCTAAAGTGTTACAGCCTCCTCATGCCCATTGTGCACCTCTCCACTGTCCAATCATCCTCAACTGCTATTCTCCAGAGACTCTGTTGCTCTATGATTTACATTCAGAGTTTGCCCATCAGCACATATATCTTGGACAGACACTACAAATGGACAATAAACCAAACTTGAACAAAAGTGGCAGGGCAAGCTAGGTTTCCTTCCTGAAATTGTAGCTATTTCCCATCCCCATTCCTAATTTGCCTAATACTACTTCCAAAATTCTTTTTGACTAGGGATTCTTAAGCTTTTTAGTGTCATGGTCCCCCTTGGAAGTCTGGGGAAAGCTCATAGACTCTTTTCTCAGAACAATGTTCTTAAAATTGCACAAAATAAAAAAATGCACAAAATAGAATACATAATATTACAAAAGACATCAATCATATTGGAATACAATTCTCAAGATATTTTTTAAAAAATAAGTCCACAGACTCCAAATTAAGATCCCCTATTCTAGACTGAGGCCATGTGCTTCTATGAAGTACAGTTTTAAGGTTGGCCATGTTTGCCATGTTGGCCATGTTTGAAATCTTATTTCTTCTGTTCTAAGTTATACCTAGAATGAAAGATATAAACATGCTACTGCAAAGGCTTCTGGAGGGAGTCCAAAAACAAACAATTGAAACAAATGTCATGTATCTCATCTTCTGAGAGGCTACTGAACTGAAAAAATCTATTTAGGATAGGTGGCAGAGTCATGGATACAAAAACTGTTTCCTTTTTTTGTTTTGTCATTAAGGATTGTGAGTATATGGTGGGAGAAGGGGTTAGCATGAGATGATAGTATTTGAAGCCCAGAAATGTCATTGTGCTTGGTAGTTAGTTCAGCTAGGCAAGCTTCATTGAACTCAACAACAGCAAACTTATTTTTTTATGAATCCATCATTTTAACACTATACTGTAAACCAAGAAATAGATGTTTTAAAAAGAGACACAACAGAATTCACTTGAAGTCCTTTGATATTTTTAAGAACAACTTCCTTTTATAAGTTTCTTAAAGAAAATCTTAAATAAAGCTTCAAAAGAACTTGAAAACCAGAAAATAGATGATAGGTAAATAGATACTTGGGCAGCTAAGTGGAGCAATGGATAGAGTGCCAGCCCTGGAGTTAGGAAGACCTAAGTTCAAATCCAGCCTCAGCCATTTATGAGCTGTGTGACCCTGAGCAAGTCACTTCACACCATTTGCCTTAGTTTCCTCATCTGTAAAATGAGCTGGATAAGGAAATGGCAAGCCACTCCAGTATCTTTGCCAAGAAAACCTCAAATGGGGTCATGAAGAATCAGATGTGACTGACAATAAGACAGATGGAGTACATAGACAGACAGACAGATAATTTATTATGCAAAGTAAATCAGATAGGCCTATTCCCTCAAAGAGCTTACATTATAATGGAGGAAGTTAATATGTAAAGTGGACCTGAAAAAAGGAAGAGGAAAGGTAGGAGATGAAATGATGTGGAAATGGCTAGCCTCTCTAATTAGAGACACATGAAGATAAAAGCTCACCTACCAAACCCCAGTGTCCTAGGGTAGAGTCAGCAGTGTGCTGGTATATGTTTACTAATTACTCTTTGAAAAATGGGGAGAAAGTGTACGTGACATATTTGTAAGTTTAATCAACATAAACACTTTCTCCATCACTTTCTTAGGTAAAGACAATGAACAGAACAAGAAATCAAGCTCTTATTTGTAGTGTTTGCTGAATCCTGAGGTAAAAATACTCATACGATAAAGAAGAGCAAAAAAAATATGAAGCCAATTGAATGTTTTTGTGTTGTAAAAGTTACTCTATTTCTTCTCCAGAGCCAATTTTGGTCACTATAATTACACAGTATTCAATTTCCTTTTATTGTTCTTTCTATTTACATTGTCCTAATTATTATGCAAAGTATTTTTCTGGCTTTGCTTATTTCACTTTCCATCAGTTTCTCTGAATTCTTTAGTCATGACTTCTTAGGGCACAGAAAGATTTCATTGCACCCTTGCACCATCATTTGTTTAGGTACCTGCTTGATAGGTACCTTCTGTTTCCAGTCCTTTGCTCAAAAAATGCTACAATGAATATTTTGGTACACATGGGACCCTTTGGTCTTTGACCTCCTCTAGACAGATACATACCTAAGATATATCTTAGATATCTAGACACCTGAATATTTAGAAAGAGCAATTTTAATCTTGATAAAGACACTAGGGAAGAAAAGCACATTGGAATTTAAGCTATAAGAGGAGAAAACAAAGTACAATGGTAGTGAGGCACATATGTAAGGGGTCACACATGGCCAAGACATCTCAAGGCCTCATGTTCTTTCTCTTTTTGGAAGGTTTACTAAGTCTCTGGATAGTGGCTGCTGGACGAGACTAGGCAAGTTGCTTGACTTCTGGGCTCTTGTCAAGGTATAGTATTTCTGCTGGATTCCCTGGTCTCTGGGGCTTGCTCTTCCATGGGCAGCTGCAGTCTTTTCCTACCTTTAGATCCTGACTGGGCTGGGTAGGACTATGCCCTCTTCATTTGGAGTGTTAGTGTGCTTTTTTCAGTTGGAGTGTTACAAAGCTCTTAAATCTTAGTACAACATAATGGCAGTAGCTTCTTTCCTTTGATTCTCCCAGAGCTTCAGCTCTTAAGTTATCTTTTATCTCCTGGTCTGAAGTGGGATATGGCTTTGACTTTTCCTGTCTGTCTCACTCAAAAGCTCTTTCTCCCCATAAGCCACTCCACGTTGCCTAAGGATGATGAGTTTCAGTTCAGTCCTTTCCAAACCCTAAACTCCTTGGGACTCTTATGAATTCATATATATATATTTATATTGATATATTTACACAAAGAGAAGCCTACGCTTGGTATAAACCATATCCTTTTCATTATTCTCCTGGTCTCTTTATATACAATTAAAATATTCAAGCCTTCACCTTTCCTTCAACCTTTTCCTAGATATTCCTAAGGAATATCTATTTTGCATTTGAAGGCTTCAGCTTTTGCTGAAGTTATATATACACATGGACATACATATGTGTGTGTGATATATCCACATGTATATGTATGTGTTTATATGTTTGTATGTGTATATATAGGTAGCTAGGTGGCGCAGTGGATAGAGTTCTAGAGCTGAAGTCAGAAAGTCTCATCTTCTTGGGTTCAATCCTGGCCTCAGACATTTACTGGTTGTGTCACTGTGGGCAAGTCACTTAACCCTGTTTGCCTCAATTTCCTCATGTATAAAATGAGCTGGAGAAGGAAATTGCAAACCATTCCAGTAACTTTGCCAAGAAATCCCAAATGGGGTTATGAAGAGTCGGACGCAACTAAAATGACAACAGCAACAACTTACATGTGTGTATATCTGTATGTGCATATACTTATATAGGTATGTACACATATTCCTGGGTGCTTATATGTATATATCCATTTCATGTGTACATATATGCATACATATACATGTGTAATCATATTATATGAATTTTAAATTGTGCTTAATACAGAGCTGGGTTTAGAGTTGCCAAATTGCTTTTGTAAGTCCAGCTGCTTGGTTCCACTCATTTCCGACCATTTTCATGCTATAAGAGAGAGCATATGTTACAGTGGAAAGAACACCAAATTTGGCATATGATGACCTGAGTTTGAGTTTCTACATTAGTACTTATCTAACTCTTCAGTTCTTAGGGATTACTCTAAGAATTACTCTAGGTTTACTCTGAGAATCAGCGTCCATAGCACATTTCAAACTAATAGGCTAGTGCACTACTAAACTGGAGAGAGGTCATTTCTAATTCTAGGACCTGTGGATTATTGGCCGATATCTGAAGTAGGGGAAAACCATAGTTTAGTGCCAATTTGGGGTAAATCTCGGAGCCAATTCCCAATCTAGAACTCTTTCCAAATATCGTTTGTTGATAAGCTTATTATCATGGTGCTTTGCATAGAGAAGACACTTAATAAGTGGGTGGTGAATGAATGAGAATGAGACTGAGGAGCACTAGGAAAAAAGGGATGAGGTGTGTACCCTCATAGTCAGAAGAAGGGTATCTGACCTGCCCAGATACAAAGGCAATAGTTTCTACCGTTGTAAGTGGGAAGTTTGACTGGTGAATAGCCAGTTAAAAAAATTGATGAGTTCTTGCATAGAAAGACAAATGTTTCAGGAAATAAAGTATCAATCTTACAGACAGTTTTTCTAAAAACCCATCAGCTTGCTATATTTTCAGCCTCCTTCCCACACTTAATGTCTTAGTGATGCTATCTGACAGCATGTGATGACAGTGAGCAACAGTCCTAGGAATACATACAGTATGTGTTAGGGACGTGTTTCTCATTTAATTGAAAATTCTTGCTTGCCCTCAGCTTGATATCATACTCTCATTAATTTCTTTCAGGTTGGGAATACTAATGACAGTACTGAAGCAATTTTATTGTTGATGACTATTACTACAGAAGAATATTATCAGTGTTGGATGGGAGATTGGAATTTTAATGGATGTTTTATAAATGTGGACATTACATGTTTGAAAATTAGGAAACAAACTAGATGAAACACTTTTATGATGTTGTTCCCCAGCTCAAGAATATACAATGGCTCCCTATCACAGGAATCAACTCAAACGCCTTATCTTAGCATCCAATGTTCTTTACAGTTTGTCCCCACCTAACCTATCCACTTCAATTCTTTGCCTTTTGGGATAATTGGGCTAGTTTCTTCTAGCTTACATTCTCTAAACATTTCGTACACATTCCCAACTCCAAGCATTTGCTCATGCTATAACCATTCCTAAAATGCTCTTCCCACTCCTTTCTACCTTCAACAACTAACTTTTATGCTTGTATCCTCAGGGCCTAGAATAAGGCCTAGCACATATACTTTTAATCAATGCTCATTGAATGAAATAAAATTCAGGAGTGTTTTAATCGACTTATATTTGCTACCATAAAGCCAAGGTGTAAACTTAAATTTAGAAGCCTCTCTTCAGCCCACTGACCTTTCAAGATACCCTCACCACATACCCTATAAAGTTCTTTCCCTTTGTCTATTCCAATGTGTTATAGAAAGACTTGGGTAGTAGCCACGTCTATGGACAGTTGTAAAATGGGATATTTTAAAGGAGAATTGAGATACCCTCACAACAGTCATTTTGTATATATGGATGATTATAATTTTTACCTTTCAATAATCAAAAACACCTAGATGGTTGAATGCCCATCATTCTAAAATGACTAACTTTACAATCTAATCTAGAGATGTTTCCATTAACTTTTCATTTTCTCGGTGCTTAGAATAAGTCCCATTGCTAACATAAGTCTTTGTATGTACAAGTTTTGACACGTGGCTTGGTACCAGACAGCCAGAAGTGATGAACTGTGTCGACATATTAAAATGTAAATTTGATTGAAGAAAACAACCTGCAAAAATTTATGCTTCTGCATTATCTCTGTGATTAAATGTTACTTGTTTCAAAGCAAATGTTTCTGACACTTTCAATTATAGCTTTTGGAAGCTTTATTCCACATCATTTAATCTATTTTAAATAACTTTCTTGTTTAGGCTTCACATAATGATATGCAAATGCAGCAATAATCACTGCCCAGTTTATAAATCAACTATTTTCTATGTAGAGAATGAGTTTTTATTTTTGTTTTTAGCTGAATCTTAAAATGCTAAGACCTTAAAAAAAGATATTGAGTTTCCATATATGACTATCCTTACTATCTGTTTTTGTAAGAGTTTAAATAAACTGAACAATGTCATTTGGGTGGTAAAGGCCAAAAGTAACAGGGTTCAGCTATTAAAATTATAAAAAAAACTTTATGGAATTAATAACAAGAATTTTATTTGTTGTTTAGAAGGTGGTTTATGTGGAAAAAATAAAACAAGTTGTTGTGGAACCAGACTGGAAGTGGCTTACATGCGCATATATTTGAAATGCTGAATTCAGTAATGTATACAGTTTTCACATCCATTTCCTTTGGGGGGAAAAAAAGTCTTACAATTACAAGCAGTCAAAACATAACTCCACCTCTAAGCTCCTCTAAATGAGACTTCTTTGTTGTTCAGAGAAAATTGTAAATGCAGTGAAGAAGAGAAAATTGCAGTTTATAAAAGATCTCTCAAAATTAGGAGGTAAAAGGATATATAATTACACTCATTGGGCGCTGGTTGGGCTGGGTATCTCTTTGTAACGTGAGCTCTGCCACCTTGTGGTCAGCTGCAGAGTTGAACTCACCAAAGGAATAATGAAAAGAGAGGAGAGTTCAAACAATGTAGTGGCGATGGCCTGAAGGGTGGGTGGTAACCAACAAAAACACCAGTTTCGAAATAAAAATTTGTCCTTTGTATTGAGTATAATACACTGTAACTCTCAGAGCCCAGAACCTGACTTCATGAAACAGTTGTTCCTGGGAAGGAAATAATAACAGTTGACACATATGGTGCTCTTTACAAACATCTTATTTACTCTTCACAGCAAGTGTGTGAGGAAAGTAATTTTTTTTGGACTAGATCTATGATTGTATCAATGTAAGGAATTCCAGGTGAGAAACTTCCTCTACCAATTTGTTGTTTTTGTTGTTCAGTTGTGTCTGACTCTTTGTGACGCCATTTGGGATTTTCTTGGCAAAGATACTGGAGTGGTTTATCATTTCCTTCTCCAGCTCATTTTACAGATGAGGAAACTGAGGTAAACAGGATTAAATAACTCGCCCAGGGTCACGCAGCTATTAAGTGTTTGAGGACAGATTTGAACTCAGGTCTTGCTGACTCCAGGCCCAGAACTCCATCCACTGCACCACTTTGCTTCCCCATCCTCTACCAATGCAAATAATAATAATAGCTAACATATGTGTAGTGTTATTATATGCCAGGCATTTTGTTAAGCACTTTATAGTTATAATCTCATTTTATCCTCACAACAATCTTGCGTGGTGTAAAATGTTATCCCATTTTACAGATGAGGAAATCAAGGCAAAAAGAGTTTAAGTGACTTGCCCAAGGTCTTGTGGTAAGTAACTGAGGCTGGATTTGAACTTAAGTCTTCCTAACCCTAGGCATGGTACTCCATCTGCTGTAATACTCTGCAATATATCATCTTAAATGAAGGTTAAATGAGTTACCTAGGGTCACTTACAAAGCCAGAGAAGATTTGATGCCAAGGCTTCCTAACTATAAAGTCAGCCCTCTAGTCACTATACTAAAGTATTATCAGTATTATTGTCATCCTCATTTTACAAGTAAGGAAAATGAGGTTCAGAGATGGAAAACTGCTTGACTAAGTTCACACAGCCAGTATCAGAAGTGGCATTCCAATCCAGGTGTCTCCTGACTCCACGTCCAGCATTCTTTCCGTAAACTCTGTTGCCTACATGTTAGTGCACGCTGTAAGGTCAAAAAGACAATATGATGATTTTACCTGATAATTTTCACCTGAAAACTTTACAACAAACAGATACCACTTATAGTAAACTGTTGAACTATTGGTTATTCACTACACAGCCATTCATAAATTTCCCAAAGAACAGTCAAAAGTTGGAACTCAGAAACTAGAGTGAAGTTTCACATTTCTAACTCAAAGGGAAGAGACACCAATGACTCGTAGGCTCTTTTTACACAGGAGTCACTCCCCGATGAAGAGTTCATATTTGATAAGAATGTTCCTAGTGACATCATCCTCAACATTATTTTGTTATCATAATAATAAATTATACAGGAAGAAATATTGAGAGAAAGGTCCTAACTGGTTATAAAAATCCTTTGAATTAGGCCCATTTTATAATGACAAGCATAGAAAAATTGGCTGTTTATTATTAGGCTGTTCAAAATGGAGTCATTTGCTACAAAGGGAGAAAATATCTTTGAGTCTGTTTAGCAAGCACATGTATGATTTTTCTCTTCTCTTTTTTTTCTCTTTTTAAAAATTTCCCTGATTTGTGAGTTACTCAGAAGCTATCAGTCACATTGATCCTGTGTCATTTTGTAGAATGCATAATGTGAAAAATTCCATTGCTTTCTATGAAACAGAGTGCTTTAAGATCTAACCTATCACATGTCCTCACCATGCTGGTAGAGTAATTTGTTAATTTATGGTAAGCATAACTTTATTTTTCCTCCTTCATATTGTTCATTTGCAGAGAAATGGACATGGGGTTCAAGATAGGACAAAGAACATAAGACAAAGAACATCTATTTACCTGACTTGGGGGAATTAGGCTACCCATCAAGAGTTGCATGTTGGTAAAATTTCCCTTCAGATTTTCAGAAGCAAATAATTTAAAACAAAACCAGAAATAGAGATGAAAACAAAAATGGTTGAAAAGAGTTTAGGAATCAAAACATTATTTGTAGTCAGACATACCCTGATTATCTATTTTTATTTGATTCTTTTAAATAGTTTATGATTTTCATTATTTTTCAAAAAACGAATACACACACACACATACAAATATATTTACTAATTTGTCTCTCCCTCTACTCACCCCCTAAAAAACTGGGATATTTAAAAAAACCTCTCAATAATGATTATATAGTCTGGCAAAACAACTTCCTGTATTAGCCATGATGGAATTGCCCCAAAGACTTCAAGGGCCCATGTTATGATCTATGGGGTCACAAAGAGTCAGATATGACTGAGCAACTGAACAATAACAAGTGCAGGGGTCAGGAGGTAATTCTATCTGTCCCTTAGTAGAGTGGTGTATCTCTAAGCCTTAATGGAGTACTTAGGGAAGGATCTGGGATCCTCCTCCTTCTAGCTCCCCAACATCTTTCCCAATGTAGATATTTTTTACCTGTGATGACTAGCTATGAGGTTTGTACTTTTGGAACAAAATATAATCACGACATCTGTTATTTTGAATTATTATGAAACATGCAGGTAAAAATAAAAAGACAAAGACAAATAGGGCATAAAATGACTAAGGAAAAATCAAAGAATACCACCATGCATTTTTACAAAATCACTTTTAGCACATGCTATTTTAGACACATGCTATTTCAGTTTCACATTGTTTCTTCTCTGTTCTTTACTGCTGCTCATCTCCTTTAGCGGATACGGTAAGTCTGGAGAAGAGCTGCTCTTGGGTTGCTGCAATAATCCAACTGTGTTCCTAGTACCTATTCTCTCCATGTCTTCTTACTTGAAATAACTTCCAAGCACTGTGGGATTGGAGAAGTGCTGTGAGTAGTGCACTGAACTCTGTTCTCTAGAGTTTACCTCAAAGGATCAGAAAACATCAATTCCCTGCCTGGTTCCCTGCTATTATTTAACATCTGAGTGGCAGCTAAAAGTTGAGATCTCTGAGGTGATGTGGCATGAAGTTTAAGATGTCTCCCATCAACTGACAAAACAATTATTATAATTTGCCTCCAGGAGACAAAGAGGAGAACAAATTCCTGATGGGGTTAAGAATTTTTTTCCCCAAGGAGGCATTTATTATAATAATTATTTTTATTGTTACTCCTAGTATTGCTAATAGTTAATACTGTTACCATGGAGTTTAAAACTATCTGGTGGCACTGATTGGCAAAAAGATGAATGTTCCTAATAAAGAACACACAGTTAAGAGAAAAGGTTTTCAGAGAGAGAGACCTAGCTGGGACAAAAGTTGTCACTTTCATGTTTTAAAATACTTTAAATGAATTTTTAAATTATTCTATAAGTTTAGCGAGTGTCTGAACAATACATAAAGTCTACTTACTATTTGCTGGTTTTGCAGGAAGAAAGAAAATTATAAATTTCTTTCATTTGAACTTTGCGTTTATGTTTCAATACATCTAGGATTCTCAACCAGCTGTGTTACCCAAAGGCATCAAGGCATATGCAGACCTTTAAGTGGGGGAATACAGCAGTACTTCAGAAGTAGGGAGGGCCCAGAGACAAAGGCAATCTTGGCACTGCCATTCAACTGAATGTGATAGGTGTGTGATTATAGAGGTCTAAAAGATGAACCCCACCCCTGGAGAACTGAACTGGCATATATGGGTGGGTTGAAGGAGAAGTGTAGGATAACCATGTTGAGATATTTACTAAGATAGGCAAGCTATAAAAAAATGTATCTTTTGGGGCTCATTGAATGAAAGTGAAACCAATGGGGGAAAATAGCCTTGTGGTCCAAGATTCCACCTACATCAATATTTGGGATGTTCTCTGATGATCACAGTTCTTCCTCCTTCCTCCTCCCCCTCCCCCCAGGAGATAATCTTTGTGAACTATTGTGGGGAAAAATCATCCTCTGATGGCCATACTGCCAATGAGTTTTTTTGAAATTAGTCAGCCTGGTTTTCAGTTGACTGCCATCCATTCTTGTGCCCATATCTGCCCATAACTTGGCCAGACCTGTCAGAGTTTCCTGTTGCAGGATTAGCCTTCAGTAATCCAGGGTCACCACCAAACTATAAGACATCAAGGGAGGATTTCCACCAGGGCTGATCATTATAAATGGAATTTAAAGCTTAATGGATGCTTGA